CCAACGCAAATGGCTCCGCATTGCTGTGAAAATTCAGCAATACTGGCGCTGGGGCAACACTGAAGTGGCGCTGCGGGGCCCACTTTCGGGTAGAAAAGCAGCATTGTACATCCTTCAATATTTTTACTTAACGTTTTCTTCTGATATCCGATTGAGGCAATTCAAAGTGCTTTGAAAAGATAATTCAAAAGTCTACGACTTTGTTTCAGATATAAGTTTCCAATTCGAACGTTTCATATGTCAAAAATGAGTCTCAATCTCCGACTAAAAATCTGAAACAGATTTGTGCGGTTGAGAATTGATTTATGAAGATATTTTGATCATATTTCACACATTCTTTTTACTTCTAATTGCATCATATTAACTCATAGCAATCTTCAATTATCGTCTTGTGGTCCGAATCAACTATTGAAATGTTGCAATTGAGTTCTTAAACTTTGAATTTCACCATTTTTCGTCGTTATTCGCTTCTTTCTTTCAATTTAGCTTCTAATCATCGAGTTTTACCAAATTAACATCAATTACTCCATGATTTATGCTTACATCACTCTTTTCTCCAAGTTTTGGATCATTCACAGCTATTCACCTAACATATTAAACAACATTAAAACGTCCTAACAACTTCTAAAGACAATCAAAATAACAAGTTTAATAGGCATTGAAATAATGAGTGAACCACACTCATCAAACACCCCAAAACTTAATAATTTGCTAGTCCTCGAGTAAACACGAAAAAAAAAAAAAAAAGACTAGCAAAACAAACACACAAAACTAAAACGAATTTACATAGAACGAGTTTAGTTAAATAGCTCGCCTTTGTAGCTCACGATTGAAAACAATATATCAAATTTTTGAACCACTTCAAAATTATATTGTAAAAGCTAAATTTTCACATATTCAATGTAAAACGTGTGTGTGTGAAATTAAGTACAACACTGTACATTCACAAGTTTATCCAATTTCCGACCTTAAAAGTCAATTATTTCCTTTCTTCGCTCATAGGGTTCACACACCCCCAAACTTATTTTCTTTTATTCTCTTCTCAAGAGTGTATACTAAAGTTTAGTTTCAATATGATAGGAATGTAAAATACAC